TTGAACTTACATTTTGTGCCTTTCACTGCTGAAGACTTAGAAAACTTTCCAAAGATAGTTGAAAATCAAAAGGTGAAAAACAGGAAGGAACTTATTAGAATCACTAGCATCAAGGACAAGCGGCTGCAGCGACAATACAGGCATTGGTTAAGATCATCCAAAGTTCCTTAAATTCTGGAAAAAGCTCACTGAATTGGGAAATAGCAAATATGACACCATTTATTCAAGAACTGCAAGAAATAGAGAGCAGGAAACTAATTAGGTAGTCTAATATCTGTTATAGAATATTACTAAAATTCATGAATAAGGAAGTTGTAGCAGGATACTTCATAAAAAAAATTGGGATCAGATATACATGGCTTTGTGAAAAGAAAATCACATTGAACTAATCTATGAGAATTTTTTAAAGACGTAGTAAGCAAGATAGATAAAGGGATACCTGCAGATGCACTTGGATTTCCAAAGGGTGATTGCTCAGGTGCTGCATCAGAGGTTGCTAAAAAGGTTGCTCAAGGTGTAGAGGGTAATTTATTAGCATAGAGTGGGAATGGAAGTGCCATGCTCAGGTTGGCAAGTGGTAAATAGTAGAGTGCTGCAGTATTGACCTCATATATTTACAAGCAATGTCAATGACTTAGATGGAAAGTCCAAACATATACAGTTAAATTTGCTGATGATACCAAGATAAATAGGAAAGTAAGTTGTGAAGAGGAGATAAAGACTATAAAGGGATGTAGACAGGTGAATAGGCAAACATTTGGCTGATGGAATATAATGTAGGAAAAATTAAACTTGTCCACTTTCAGAAGAAGAAAAAGAAAAGCAGTATACTATTTAAATAGAGAGAGATTGTTTAATTCAGTGGTAGAAAGGGATCCTGGTGTTCCGCATATATGGGTACAGCATGTGATTAGGAAGGCAACTGGAGTGATGACATTTGTTGCAACTGGAGTGGCATATAAAAATAGAAAAGTTTTATTGTATCCTATATGCAGGGCCTCGGTGAGAGCACATGTGAAGTACTGTGACATTAAAGGACTTAAACGTGTGAGAAACAGTCCAGAGAAGGTCCACACAACTCAGTCCTGGGTTGAACCTCTCTCACAAAGGAATATTGAACAGGTTCAGATAATACCCACTGCAGAAGAATGAGAGGTGATCTTATTGAAACATTTAAAATCTAAGGGACTTGATCATATAGATACTGTGAGGATGTTTTCTTTTATTGGGAGACTAGAACTGGGAGTCAAAGTATAGCAAGTAGGGATCTCCCATTTAAGACAAAGATGAGGAGAATATTTTTCTCTCAGCCATTGTTTAGTCTGGGGAATTCCCTTCCCCTGAAAGCAATGGAGGCTGTGCCATTGAACTTATTCCTTGGAGTGGATGGTGTATGGGGAAGAAGACAGGAAAATGGAGATAAGACCATAATCAGATCTTACTGAATGGTGGAACAGCCTCAAAAGATTGAACGGCTGCTTCTGCTCCTAACTCTGTTCTTATGTTTCATTATGCAGGAGCCATTCTCTCTGTTTGACCCTGGTCCACTCCTCAATCACCCCTAAATCTTAATCCTCTTCCTGAGAACGTTTGCTGGAAATGTGGCACCTACCCTTTTATTTCCTTTCTGCTCACTGTCCAAGATCCCGAATGCTTATTCCAACTAAAGGAATGATTTACTTGTACTTACTTCAGTTAGTCTACTGTATTCGCTGCTCACATTATAGTCTCCTCTACATTGGGTAGGCTAAATGAGTTACCAGTGGCCTGTCATTTTAAGTTATTCACATTGCTCTCAAACTTCAATTTCTGTCCTCAACCTGTTGCATTGTTTCACTGATGCTTAAAATTAGCCAGGGGAATAGCACATCATCTTTTAAATAAGCACTTTAGAGCCTTCTGGACTCAACAATAACTTCAGAAATTTCAAACCATAATCTGTCCCTCATTTTGTTTCCCTTTATTTGTAACTTGAGAGTTTTTCTCTTATTTTTGCTTTCAGTCAACAGCACACCTGCTTCCGTCACATCTTGTGTTTCCTTGTTTCTTTTCTTGCCTCATCACCATTGTTTTTGATCCTGTAAGATTAACCCTTCTGTCATTCAGGTTCTTCTGCCTTTCCCTGTATCACCTTAATTTGCCCTTGTTTCACCCACCATTCATTCACAACATGTCTAACTTTTCCAAGTTCTGTTGAAAGACCATAAACTCAAACCATTAACTCTGTTTCTTTCTCCACAGATATTGCCAGACCCTGATGAGTATTTTGTCATGTTCTGCTTTCAAATTGAACTGGCTGATCTGTTTGGAGCAGATCATTCTCAGTTTATTGCTTAAAGGGACATCTTTGATGCACTGTAACCAGGTTTTAAGGCTATGATATCCTTCAATGACAAGATTTTTAGATCTAATATTTGCAAAATAATATAAATGATGTTAGGATGTACATACATGGAGTGTTTTCCCAGCACTTTTTCTTGTGTAAACAGCTTGACAATAATTTATGTGGTCACCTTTGTAAACTGAAACCTTTTTATTGTCTTTAGTGTTTAGGTTAGCTTAACTCTGGCCTAATAGATAACTGCAATTATTGCAGGTTGTTTACTGGAGAATACATAGGATACAGTTTCTCATTTCCAACTTCAGTTACTTGAAATTATATAAAAAATGATGTAAATTTATTTATATGTCACAAAAATGTTCAACATTTTGATTCTTTCGAGAATAATTAATAAAACAATGCAGTTGAGCTTTGCATGATCAATGTCAACATTTAACAGGGCTTCAAATTGTTTCCTTGTAGCGTACAGGCAAGTATAAGTGGATATGAATGGATTTTTAAAATCATACACTGAATCTAGCTGTCCTCAGATTCTAAATTCACTACTTCCTGGGAGCCTGCTACTATGTATGATCTAGGTTGGACAGAGCAGTATACACAATATACGTCATTGCTTTAGCCTGTCACATAAACTTTAAAGCATTTCTATTAAGAGGTAGCCTTCTGACAGTAGACTGTTCTTTCTATATTTGCCACAAGTGTAAGTGAACACATATATGATAAACAGTGACAAAGAGAAATATCTGAACACACGTGAAAATTAAAATTAATTAATTAAAATTAAGTTTCAAAATTTCAGTTAGTACAGAATTTTAAAAAAATGCCCGAAATACTAAATACTGAAAGTTATCAAAAGCATCTTGAGGTTTACCTCGCCAAAAAAAATCAAATGTCAGAGATTTAATAGTGCATGTAAAATCATTTAAAGAAGAATTTGATGTTACAATGGGAGGACATTAGGACCTCTCTGAAAAGATGAATCAAGATTCACTAAATTGTTTCCTCATCCATGGTCATCCAATCATCTTGTAAACTTATTTTTATATGCATGAAATTACAATGTAAATAATAAAATAAAACAAAGTCATTTGGAAACTCAGAACTTGGGTAATGCTGAAAGAAGACATACTTTATCAAAGTTTTTCATTTTGCAGTCATCAGGACAAGGGACCAGATTAAGGGGAAATCAACATTTATATGCCACGAGAGCATAGTGTTGATTGTTGGCAAATGGACTCTGATTGGTAGAGGTGTTGCCACGGAGAATGCACCAATTAATAACAGCTGACAGTTAACTTCCAGGCTTTGTTTAAATTTTAAACTAGGTTTACTTTGGTCTAAGCACTGTTCTGAGGAATGAGCCTACTTTTTGGAGATGAAACAGATGCACTGAGTGGACATATTACTTCTATCTGTAAAGAACAGGGCCCTGTGTATTAGTATACACAGCTTCCAGTACACCCAAGTGTGCCACATTTGAGCAAATTCATCTTTAAAATGGAATGGTCAACTGAGCTTCTTTTTCTCAATGTTCTAGTTGAGAAGACTACTTCAATTGAGAGATCTGGTACTGTCTACCAAAAAACTACTGTAACTGATCAGCATACATGTGTTAGAATATTTGCCTTAACAGTAACTTCAAAGATAATATTTAAGCTGTGTAAATGTGATGCTGAAATAGGGTGGGATAATGGCTACCCTGATCAGATTATATCTCATGGTATAACATGCAAGTTCATTAATGGCCCTGAGGCCATCACTTTTGACCTTGAAAAGTGCCCAGTCTATCTCAGATTACCCTGGAAGGGTAAGCTTTCTCAAAGGTTTCAGCAACAGGTGAAGTTAGTTGTTTCATGCTACTACGATGCAGGAACAACATCAGTAATATTCATTGCTAACAGAATGCCACTGTCAAACGATAAAAGATGTCTGTCACATAAATTAATAAAGTGATACTTGAATTTCAGTGCTGGTCTGTTGCTAGGTATGTAGGCTACATGTCCCAAAGGATCGAATCAAATGGAATATTCCTTTGCCTATTTGCAAAAAGCAAGGTCCTGACAGTACCCAAACAACCTGTGCTTGCAATACTCACAACACACTATCCAATATGAGACGTGATGGCACAATTGGACAGCATTTGCTAGATAACCCCCAAGTGTATGAAGAATTACGTTGGCAACCAATTTAGGATTATCATTTGGGCTCACAGTGTTGTGCACTTTCATAAATGCACTTGCACAAGTTGTAATACTGACATGAGACTAAAAGCATCGACAAAATATGTTTCGCAATGTTCAAATAAAATAGTAAGAGATAACCACATGGTATTTGCCAGATTAAGGTTATAATGGGCAATTACCAAAGTCACGAGAATTTTCATCCCACCAAAGAAACTTCATTCTGATAGTTTGGTTATGATGAGATTTTGGTATCCAGTTTAGAACTCAGCTTTTTTACCTGCACTACGTGAGAAAATAAACACCCCAGAACCACTTTCCACAGTGAAAAACCAAACCATCAGTTTACTATCTCCATATTCCCTGTATTTGTGGAGCGATTATATTTTTAACACTTACAGGTTATACTGGGGACTGAAGTAAGATGGGATGGAACAGCTGATACGATACCTTAATTAACAAAAAGAATAGATTCCTACCTGAAGGGTGGAAAATCACTTGATTTCCAGGATGAGGGCCTGCATCAACTGATAACATTATTGCCACTTTCCGCACATCCCAAAGCTTTAGTATGCCATATGAGTCACAGGAAACAACTGTATCACCCTATCGAGCAAACATAAGGGAAGATTATTTTTGTACAGGATGAAGCTTCAGATTTATGTGTTGCATTTTAGAGTGACCTTAAAAAGGTAGATTACATAAGACGAGAACACAATTTTCATGATTCCCAATATCCAAAGACTAAGTCAAACTAAATCAAATTCAGAATTGATAAATATTGTAAAAAAAAATTAGACGAGGGAAGCGTTGATATGTAAGTTGAACTTCTCATTTGGTATTGCCAGTTTTGCATGATAGGACTACTCAACAATAATTAAATAGCAATTAACTTAAATAGAATTACATAGAGTGGACAGGCCAGCAACTGGCCATTCAGCTCAACTAATGTATAACAATATTAATGCTCCTCGCTACTTGCTCTTCGTCTAATTTTTTCCACTCTTTTATATTCCTTTCTGTCTTGTACTTATCTAGCTTCTCCTTAACACCATCTATTTCAATGATACTATATTGTAGAAATTTCCATAGTCTAACCAATCTCTAGGTTAAGGGGCTCCTCCCCAATTGCTTTTTAAATTTATTTATGACTATCATATATTTAAGAGCCTTGGTATTGGGATCCCCTACAGATGGAAATATCTTGTCTATTATCTACCATATCAAATGTATTAGAATTTTAAAAAAACTTATATTTTGTGAGCTTTCTATTTTCTAATTTTTTGTCCAAATAATTTGTCAATATATTTTGGAAATGAAATACACTCTTTCCTGCTAATTATAACATGGGTTACATGACAGTTATTCCTGCCTCTAAATTACCTGGTAAAAGTTATTCAAACCCAAACCTCCATAGAAGCATTCAATGCCAATGTTCCTTCTGGTTATTTTTTCTGCTGCATGGACCTCCAAGATCTGTGCATGATGATAGCTTTTAAAAGTGGACGCTGATCAGTGTGTGCTGAACATCCCAGTGGCTGTGCAGCCAAACAGGTCAATTGGTGACAGTGATTTAACGAAGATGTTCCAGGCAATTGTGAGAGTGGTGGAGCATGAGCTTTGGTGGATGTGGAGACAGTTGCAGAGATAGAGTTACTGTGAGGTTTCAGTGGTTATGCTGGTGGAGTGGAGATCCTGGCATTCTACCGACAATATTATGCATTCCTCCAGCCAGCTGGTTTTCTAATTTCTAATAATTTCTAATCACATTTGCTTACATTGCTCTCATATTCATCTGTTACCTATTTCGGCCTCCATCTATCCAATCTAAATCTTGAATGGTAATATCAGGCTGGATTTTACAGAGACAGAGGTCTCTCCCAAACAACTGCCTGAATGCTATTAACTGGCTCAGAATGAGTTTTCAACTCCTTTTGAAGAACAGTCACAGTTAACATGTAGGCAAATGTGATCAATTTGCACGAATCAAAATCCCACAAAAATTGAAATTAGAAAATTGAGAGAAGAGCCTGTTTTTAGTGGAAGGTGAATATTGTCCAGACTACTAGAAGAGTGCCCAAACTGCATAACTTGAACTTTTAGGAGGCTCATTTGGAAGATGGCACTGCTGACAATGCAGCAATTCCACTGTACGGCACTGAAGTATTATCTGGGATTTTTAAAAATTCATTTATGGGATGTGGATGTCGCTGGCTAGACCAGCATTTATTGCCCATGCCTAATTACCCAGACACCAATGAAGAGTCAACCACATGGCTATGGACTTGGAGGCACACGTAGGCCAGACCAGGTAAGATGGTGGATTCCTTTCCTGAATTTATGAACCAGATGGGTTTTTCCAACAATTGACAATTGAACACTTATTTCCAGGCTTTTTTTAAATTGAATTCAAATTTCAACATCTACCATGATGGAATTTGAATCCAGATCCACATATTACATGGGTTTCTTGGTTCATGCTCTAGTGATACTCATCAGTTGAACTGTGTGAACTTCATTTCTGACAGCTGTATCACAAAAATAAGAATAATGTGGTTCAAAATAGAGGAATTTTTAAAAAGTATCATTAAACCATAACCATAAGATATAAGAACAGAATTAAGCCATCCGGCCAATCAAGTCTGCTCCGCCATTTGATCATGGTTGATATGTTTCTCAACCCCATTCTCCTGGCTTCTCTCTGTAACTTTTAATCCCCTCAGCAATTAAGAATCTATCTATCTCTGTCTCAAAGACACTTAATGAATTGGCCTTCATAACCTTCTGTGGCAATGAGTTTCACAGATTTACCACAATCTGGCTGAAGGAATTCCTCCTCCTTTCAGTTCTAAAGGGTTGTGCCTTCACTCTGAGCCTGTGCTCTCAGGTTCTAGTCTCTCCTATTAGTGGAAACATCTTCTTCACATCCATTCTGTCCCCTTTCAGTATTCTGTAAATTTCAATGAAACAATGGAATAATAGAGATTAATAAAATATGAGTATTGCTGGCTAAGGCAGCATCCATTGTCATCCCTAATTGCCCTTAAGATAATAGGCTGTCCTTTTCTCAAACCATTGAAGTCAATGGAGAGTAAGTGCATCTATGCTGCTGTTAAGAAAATGGTCTCAGAGTTTTAACCCAGCGACAATGAAGGAATGGTGTTATAGTTCCAGGTCAGGATGGTGTTTTGCTTGGAGGGGATCTTTTAGGTGGTGATGTTCCAATACTTCTGCTGCCCTTGTCCTCCTATCTGGTAGAGGTTGTGAGTTTGGAAGGTGCTGTCAAAGGAGCTTTGGTGAGTCACTGCTGTGTGTCTTACAGATGGTAAACATATTGCCACAGTTGTTTCTGTGATGAAGGGAGTGGATGGTAATGCTGACGGAAGGTGTGCCAATCAAGTGAACTGTTTTGTCCTGGATTGTGTTGAGCTTCTTTAGTGTTGTTGGAGTTGCACCCATCCAGGCAATTAGAGAGAATTCCACCACATTCCAGAGTCGTGCTTTCTGAACAGGCATTGAAGAAACAGGAGGTGAATTACTCACAACAGAACTGTGAAGCTTGGAAACTCTGGAGGAACTAAGATAGATTGTCTACTTGATACTTCTGACTGAAGATGCCTGTAAATGCTTCAGCCTTGTATTTTGCATTGATGGACTTGTCTCCCCTACTGTTAAGAACAGTGGTACTTATGGACCACCTTCTCTTCCTCTAATGCGTTGTTTAATTGTCCACCACCACTCATGACTGAATATGGCAGGACTGCAGAGGATGGAATTGATTCTTTGTTGTGGGATTGCTAGGTTCTGTTTGTTGCATGCTGTTTATGCTGCTTGGCACATTAATCATCCGGGATAGTTGCTTCACTAGGGCGACACCTCATTTTTAGGTATGGCTGGTACTATGCCTGGCATGTCCTCCTGTATGCTCCATTAAACCTGTGTTGATCCTGGTTTGATGGTAATGGTAGGGTGGGAGAGATATGGCAGGGTAAAAATTACGAATTGTGGTTTAACAGAATTCTATGTTGCTAATGTCCCAAGTTACCTAATGGATGCCCAGTTTGAGTTGCAGATCCATTTGAAATATAACCCATTTAGCATGGTAGTAGTGTATCCTCAATGTGAAAGTGGAGGACCGTGCTGTGGTCACTGATAATGTCATGGGCAAATGCATCTGCAACGGATGTATTGGTGAGGATGTTGTCAAGTATGTTGTTCTCTCTTGTTGGTTTCTTCAGCATCCATTGTCATCCCTAATTGCCCTTAAGATAATAGGCTGTCCTTTTCTCAGACTGCAGACTGAGCCCAGTGGCTATGTCCTTTAGAACTTAGTCAGTAGCGGTGCAAACAGGAGACTCTTGGTGATGGACATTGAAGGCCCTCACCCAGGATACATTCTATGCTCTTGCCACCCTGAATTCTTCCTTCAAATAATGTTCAATGTGGAGGAGTACTGATGCACCAGCTGAGATAGGGTGCTAAATTTTATAAGAAGGAAGTCCCCTTCCCCATATATGACATGATGTCATGAGACTTCAAAGGGACACCGTCAATGTTGAGTACTCCCAGGGCACTACCACTATGCCACCACTTCCACTGAGTCCTGCTGGTGGGACAAAATAGAACCAGGGATGGCAGTGGTGTTGTATTGCACCCTGTCTTTAAAGGATATGGCTCCATGAGATTGACTCTGTCAGATTACTGCTCATCTACTCTGGGGAACAGCTATCCAAATTTCGATTGAATGTTAGTAAGGGGGGATTTGAAAGATTGACAGGGCTGGATTTCAAATTATGTAAGTGTTTGATTAGAAGAATGGACTTTTAATTCACAGATTCAAAAGAGAGAGTTCCCCATTTAATCAGGATGACAGCATTAAATTTTCTAATCCAATTAAGCATTCATTTTAAACACTTTAATTTTATAAATTTAATACACAATCTTTCCTCTCAAAATCCAAATACATTGTACCTGTTAGATTCCCCTGCACCTTACTATTTTGCTACCTCTAGGGCTTCCTTGGTGTCCTCAGGAATTAAAAAATATTCTCGAGGACACAATAATGAACAACTCAGGAGAAGAAACAAATGGAAGCGGGATGTGGGGTGTTAAATTGTACTTGTGAAAATGTTTTTTAATGATGAAACTATTAGACAGGGGAAAATGTCCATTTGACTGACAATAAAGATCATCCAATTGGGGCAATTCACTTTGTGATTGGTGTGGAAGGCCATGAGCATGTGTATTTTAGGTGTCCGATGGCAAGTGTGTAGAGGGGCAACAATTAGGAGGCAGGAAATAGAAACATCAAAACATAGAAAATAGAAACAGGTGTAGACCATTTGGCCCTTAAATCCTCTCTACCATTTAACATGACCATGACTGATCATCCAACTCAGTACTCCCATGCCCTTTGATCCCTTTAGCCCGGAGAACTGTATCTATCTCTGTCTTGAAAACTTTCAATGTATGTGCCTCAACTGCTTTCTGTGGCAGAGAAATCTAGACTCACCACACACTGGGTGAAGAAAGTTCTCATCTCAGCCCTAATTAGTCTTCCCCATATCCTTAGTCTGTGACCCCAGGCTCAGAACTTCCCACCAATT